GGCCCCACCCCCCTGACAAAATTTTTCTTTTTTTTTTTTTTGGAGGCGATAAAGGGAATGCCACAACGCTGGCGGGTGTGGCTGCGTGTCTAAATACACCCGACGTACCTTCCTCTCTCCAAAGATGCGCACATGAGGATGGAAAATATTTTAAGATATATTTTTTTTGGGGGGGGAAATATATATATTTTTTTCATGCGTTGTGGAATACACTGGAAAATTTCAGGGAAAATGCATTTAAAAGCCTTTTTTTAGTAAAAGATTAGTATATTTATTAATTTTTTTTTTTACTCAGTGCAGCTGTAGGTGCAGCACCCTGTGGTGACAGTCCCTCGACCCGGATGGGGCTGTCTGGGCTGCGGATAGTACTACCCAGCCTCAGATCCCAAGTTTCTCCGGGAGGGACTGTCCTCGGAGGATGCTGATGGGGAAATTGGGGACAGCGGGTCTGGGGACAGGGCTGGAGGGTGCTGCAGGTTGCAGAAAGGCTCTGCCAGGCTGCTGCGGCTCCTGGGATTAGCTTTAATTTCGGAGTGCAAAGGGAACAGTTGACGTGCCAAAGATGTAACCAAGGTGGTGATGGTGTGGATGAAGCACCTGGTTCTCCCTCCTGGCCCCTCTGAAGCGAGCTCAGCCGTGATTTCCCAGCCCAAAAGCTTCCCCAGACAAGCGCAGGCAGTTCTTACCACTGCTTTGCTCACCGTCGTGCCCGACTTCTACGCCCGGGAAACTGCAAGTCCCGAAATCACCGTGTGGCCCCAAATCTCCATCCCTCCATGGCCAGTTTGGCACCAGCATGAGATTTGGCTGGGATGGGGGTGAGGGGCTTTCTTAAGGTTTTGGTTTTTTAATATTCCTTTTGCAGTTTTTAGAGGAAACCACTGACAGTAGCGCAGGTGCTGCATTTTGTCTTGTGGGGCACCTTTTTGCTCTAGACAGAAGCAAAGATGTAGAGGGATTTTTAATATTTATATGCAAAAGGAGGGATTGGGGGGGGTGTTTGTAACTATTTTTTCAACCTACACTTGGGGCTTATCGTAATTGAAATAAATACTTTTTACTGGGTCTGGAGCTGCTCATGACTTGTTTTTTCTGATAGCTGGAGACTCTTGTATCTCTTTATCTGCGTTTTTCTCTCTGTCCGCACTGATGAGACCATCCTGTGCTGACAAAACTGAGCCGAGGAGGCTTTTCCCAGCCTGCACTTGGCATCTGCCACCTCTCTCAGAGGCTAAAGCCAGGCTTTTGTGCCTAAAACAACCACCCGCAGCAAGTGAGGTTTTGCTTTCCACCTCTATGGCACGGCCCCACACATCTCCTCAGCAGGGAGGTCTTTCCCATATGCTTTTCCTTCCTCTCGGGTGAGTTTTTGGCCGGCCGGGCTGTGCTCGGATCCAGCGGCACGGGCCCCACACAGGTTGCTCTCCAAACGGCCTTATTTATAGCTCCGTGATGCCGGCTGGATGCTGCCAGCTCAGTAACGCAGGCCAACGTTCGCTCCTGAGCGGATGCTCTGTGGCTTTGTTGGGCTTGCCCTAAAATGCAAGGCAGGACCTGGACCTCGGGCTCCCGGCCGAGTCTCACCCCAGCACCTGGGAGGGCTGGTGGCCATAAAGCAAGCAAGGTGCTGGGTGCTTGTTTGCTATTTTAGCCCCGGCTTGTTATCGGGGGCTGGATTTGGGCTGCAGCATCCTGGGTTTGCCCCATCAGTAGGGAATTTTGGGAAATACAGAGTGAATTCGCTGCCAGGCTGGGCCGGCCTGAGCCAGTGGCAAGCTAGGGATGTGAGTGTTGCATAAATAAGATGGTAAAATTCCCCTTTTGCTGTTTTCACTATGTTTTCTCTCCCAGATTGAATCAAAATGTAATAAGAGCACTTGCTCTCTGCTTGCACAACTTGGTGGAAGGCCCTCCTGCAGATGTTTCTGGCCTGCAATTTCCCTCAGTGGCCCTTTCACAGCCCTGCTGACAATGGGGCTGTGGGCTCGCCCAGCCACTGAAACAGTCCTAACAGTGCCTTACGTCTCTCTCACCATCTACCAGCGTCCAGCCTCCAAACTGAAAACGTCCAGCCCCTACTCCCAGATGAAAGATGCCAGCGAGCTTTCCTACAGAGCTGGGAGACTGGCCATAGCTGTTGTTTTCCCTGGGATCTGGCTGGAAATGGTGGTGCAAACCCACAGAGGGCAGTGGAGCCGAGAAAATCGCTGCCTGCGCTCTCTGCTCCTGGACTGGCAGGAGTTAGCGATGTTACAGACGTGGTATTTTGGCCTGGATTCGGCCCCGTGTGTTTAAAATGTGGTGAAATGCCTGCGTTCCTGGGAAGACAGCAGCAGCGTGGGTGTAAGGCAATGAGGAATTAAGCGGGGGGAGTAAGGCTGGAGTGAAAGGGTGTCTTCCCAGCTGCAAGAAGCAGGGAGGAGAACAGAGCCTATTGCATGGAGAGGTAGGATGCTGTTAGAGGAGGTTTAACAATCCAAATGGGAAATATTTGGGTTTTCGTTACTCACAGCGAGGGACCAGGCCACCATGGAGGGGACAGCCCTAGCGCAGGAAGGATTTCAAAGACGAGCATCAGCTTGCGTGGTGGCAGGGGGACACCACGGTCAAGGCTCCCGGTGCTGGGTTTGGGGCCGGCGGTGGATGCTTGCCTGGCGGGAAGGCTGCTGGGTGTAGGCAGGGCAGGCAGGAGGTGACTCATCCTGCTCGTGTGCCAGTGCTTGGCGTGGGCTTGCCTGATCCTGGGTGGTATTCGCTTTATTTTGCGCTCAGACGTGCCCTGGAGGGCTGAGATGTTTGCTGAGGGCTAAGCCTGGGCAGGAGGAGAAACGGGGAAAGCTCCAAGCAGGGCTGTGTTAGGTATTTTTTAATGGGGTGGGTTTTTTTGTTTTTTGGGTTTTTTTTCTGCCTGGAGGGTGTTGGAAGGGGATCAGTGGAGGGGAAAGCAGGAGAAGCTGAGAGAGGGAGGCGCTGCTGTGCCATACTGGGTAAAAGTGGGTGCCCGGAGCGTGCTGGAGCCTCCAAAGTGAGCTGGAAATGGCGGTTGTTCACAAGTTTAGTGGGGCCAAGCCAGCCTTCGAGGTGCGAGAGGCTGAACCCAACCCTCTGAACTGCTCTTCTCCCCCATTTGCCCCCTCCAAGCAGGACTAAACCTCCAACACATCACAACAGTGCTGGGGTCACTGGGACTGTCAGGCTTTAGGGCACTGAACAGGCCAAAAAGCTTCCTCAAACAATTCCTGTGGGAAAACAGCCCTTTTCCAGTGATATCCCAATCCTTTGCCCTCTTTACCTAAGATCACCAACAGTTCTGGTGTTCCTGCGCCCTTTGCCGTGTGGTTGTGAGCGTCTCTGCTGTGCCAGGTACGCGAGGGACTGGAAAAAGGGTTGATGATGCTCCGAAACGTAGCTCGGCACTGTAAAGTCAAGCTGTCCACGGTGATATAGCAGTTCCCAGGTGCTAATAAAGCTAGCAGGAAAAATAGGAGGGAAAATGAAATGAAGAACAACCAGAGGCAGTAGGAACCAGCTGGCACTTGCTTGGGCTCGCCAAATCTGCAGGTTTTGTTGGCCAAATTGTCCAATGTGGGGCAGTATGGGAGAGAAACCTGTCTACTTTTTCCTCTTAGGAAATTAAAAAAAATGGTAAAAAGATGGCCAAGGGGAGGCATCAATTCTGGAGGAGCTTTAAGGCAGAGCAGGAGCCTGGCTCCTTTGCATGGCTAGCACGCTTCAGCAGACAATATGGTAAAAATACTGTGGGTTTTTTTCTTTTCTAAACGGGCAAAAAGAAGTGATATAGCTAAAGATACTGGAGCTAGGAGGCTCTTTCGCAGCTGTGTTTACAGGCAGCTATTTCTGTAGAACAGAGGGAGCCATAGATGTCAATTTGCTTTTGGTATGAATTTCCTTCCGCATGAAGGGGTGTACCAGGAGAAGTGCCACGCTTGGGAGGCGGTCGATGGAGCGGTGCCAGGCACCGACCACCCCACCCCACCCCCGGCTTTATTTGCACCCTCAAAATTATTACAGCAAAGTCCTTAGGAGCTGTGGAGGGGGATTTGTCTTCCCGGCAGGCTGCAGACAGGAGAGATGTGTCGTGAGCACAGTAGCTCCTCAGGATGTCTGGAGATCTATCAGTCCTTGGGTAAACCTCCTACCATGATAAAAGTTCCTCCTTTGTTCTCCCATTTTTGGGGAGTGGGGGAGTACTTAGCCTTTCTTTGAGGTCATTCTCACTTCTCTCTTCAGTCTTTAGTTCCTTTGGTGGGGAATCGGCAGTTGATCTGGCAGGCAGTAGGCTGCAGAGGAAAACTGGCTCACAAAAAAATACCCGGAGCCCCCTCTAAATATTTGTTCCTGACTGCAGCTGGAAATAGTCTCCATTCAGAACTTCTGTATAGGCTGGCAAGGTTTGGCTGAGCTTTTTTCCTCCAAAAAAATCTCATCATTTTCTGTTTCACCCCACTTCCCACAAGCAGTTTGAGGTGGATACAAGCTCAACCTCATCCCAGGCATTTCCCTTACCCTAGTGCAGAACGAAAAGCACAGAAAGGGAAACTAAATAGCATGTTCGTCATCTTCCCTCTGCCACCGGATCCGCTAATAACTTCTGGCACTATGCAGTGCGCTTGTTCGGTGTGGCTGTACCCTGTAGATAGCACCTTAGTAAGGAAGAAACTATTCCAGTCGTATAGCTACTCTTACCGGAGGCCAGCGCAGCGTCTTAAGTGGCACGGCAGCTCGTAGGAGCTTTTCTTCTGAGATCTCACCTTGGAGGATGGCAAGCCTCGGCGTACACTGCAGTCCTTGTGTGTCTGCACGGGCAGGCGTCGTGTCCTAAACCGGCCCTGCACAAACCAAATTGTTTAATAATTCAGAATCTGACTCAAAAGGGCAAATGTACTCAAGACCCTGCTACTATTTTTTAGCCGCTGGGT